CTAAAATGGCTGACAAAAGGTGAGGTGCTGCATCAGAGCAAAGCGGCGCAAGGGGAGGTGCAACGTGGAGCAGTCCAAAATAAAATCAAAGTCGCTCAGGCTGCTACAGCTGTGAGGAACTTTCACGGGGCGGGGGAGGGAGGGAGTTTGAGTTTCTATGACGACAGCTTTGACTGTTGTTTTCCATTGACGATAAACGTCCGACTAACTTTGCTGCAGAACTCACCGAAGCGGGGGTCGAGCCGCGGGTCCAGCCAGGAAGTGGTTTTGTTCTTGTGGTTGATGTAGTAAATTTCACCCTCTGATGTAATCGCTTGTTCCCAGCCTTCAGGGAGTGGTCCTGGGGGAGGGCGGACAACACGTGTGACGTCAAAACATTTTGGCTTTTTGTTGTGTCCGATGAGTCTGAGAGTGGCGGCAGAACATGAAAATCTTTTTAAAACGCACGTAGGAAGGCAAAGTGTTGGGTTTCTGGAGTGCTGGTCCAGCTCACAAGTGTGAAATTAAACAACCACGTCGATCTTTTGCGAGCTGCCTATTTCTCGGTGTCAACTGTTTAGCACATCCGCCTCATAGTGCACAGGTGCAGGGTTCGAATCTGGCTCCGGCCTTCCTGTGTGGAATTTGCATGTTTACGCGTGTGTGCGTGGGTTTTCTTCGGGTATTCCGGTTTTTTCCCACATCCCCAAAACTTGCACGGTAGGTTGATTGGTCGCTCCAAATGGTCCCCAGGTGTGATTGTGAGCGGGAATGGATAAAGCAGTTCTCATGCCTTTGGTTAGCATGTGGACACGCTAGCGATAGCATCTCGCAGTAAATGCGTGCAATTAGCGAGCCAAAGATGATGACAAGTACAGTAAGATGAGTTGCTTTTTTTTCTTTTGTACAATGAACGCTGCAATTGGTGAAAACCCACAATATAGGGAGACCATATTAAAAAAAAAATGATATAAGTATAAAACACAAATTTGAAACACTGTCAACAATCAGTAACCCGAACCGATGCTTTGCAATACAACTTTTCACTGCTAAATGATACGTAAATCTCGACTGCAACAACTTCGATGATCTCGCTCTGACGCACATTGCGATCTACCTGTTCGATAATTGTTGCTCGAAACCGGAAACACGACTGTACAGTGGGAGTGAAATGTCATTTCGACATCTCTTGATGGGCTCCGAAATCTTTTTCCAGCTCTCAACAAGAGCAGATTTGCACGCAGGCAGCAATATGACGGCTGACGCTTCCTGTGTAAGCTGGGAGTCGCGGCGCTCCGAAAAAACATGTCAGACAGGACCTGTCACGTTCTATTTGGGTCTCACCTCACCCGAGGCAAATTCCAGCAGCGCGGACTCCAGCGAGCAACGCCGAGCCTGGCTGACGAGTAGCGACTAGCACGTAGCCATGAAATGCCGAGACAGAAGTACCGGTGGTCGAGTCCGAGGATAGTTGTGCAAACTCGGAACCACACGGGGGAAACGGAATGAAATGAGGGATTTATGACTTCATGTAAGATAAATGACACAGCAAAATCTTCATCGGGCATGGCTTTATGTGTCCTTAAATGTGTCATTGACGCTCATATTTTTTAAATTATTTTTTTCCCCCAGCACATCAGGTTTTTATTCAATTTTTGCCAAGATCTTTCTTGTTACCAGGCATTTTTTTGTGCAAGCTCCCCCGTAAAAATCACACGCTATTATTGAGATTTTCTGAAAAAGTAAGGAAGTTCCTCTTAAAAGAATAAAAACCATAATTCTGTCAGTGTAGGTCGTATAAATATACAAAGTCATGCGATTGCTCCAATCAGGAACAAGTTAGGAATCACCTGATTTATCTTGCGCATGCTTACGTTAGTCCCGAGACCACACATGAAAAAATTGGTGCTGTGACCGGGAAACAAATTAGGAGGGGGAAAAAAAAACTATTTTGAGCTAAGAAAGTTTTTTTTTCTTTTTTGCTCAAATTATTTTTGTATTACTTAGCTTGTGCTGTGGTTGAACTCGTTCAACAGTCATCAAGTTGATGTCCGCTCTCAAACACTTAGCTTAGCTTATTGCTAATGCACTCAGAGACAGAGGTTACAAATTTGTTCGGGGTTAAGGTGAGCCAATTCGAACCACTTTCGCTCTTCCGTATTTGAAAATAAGTCATGCATTTTCGTTTTAGTGTTGCACAGGGATTTTCCATTCGATTGATTAGTAAACATTTGCACAGCAGTTTGAACTGCCCCAGGTCAAGACAGCAAGTTTGAGACGCAGATCCCAGAACTTCTCTATTCCTCCTTTCTTACTTTTTTCTTGTTTTTTTATTTTAAGATTGACTGACTCATAACCAGCAATACAATTTCAATAGCGAGAAAAAAAGAAATAACACACACCGCTGGCCGGGTTCATCAGATTCTGCTGCTGGACCGGCACGGAGCTGGGTGGAGGAGCCTGGTTCATCTGCAGCAGGGCCTTGCGGGGGTCCTGCCAAGTGGTGGTCTGATCAATGTGGCTGCCGGGGGACAAAGAAAGATAAGACAATCAGTTTGGGGGGAAAAGTTCAAAGCGGAGGGCGGCCTCAATTGAAGCGGCAGACGCGCAGGAACTGATGAGTCAGTCGCGGAGCTTTCAACTGAACAATGGGAGCGATACAGCGAGTTTCCAAAATCAGCTTACACGCGCCTGGAAAACACGTTTGCCTTTAATTCTCGAGAAATCGGCGGCGTGAAAAACACTTGCAGTCGGGCAAAGAGAGAGTTTCTGCAGTCAGTTGCGAGCCATCTGATGACACCAAGGCAACAGATGGCAGCTATTGCTCTTATACTGTCAAGTAGCATCGGCTAGCTAGCAGCAACTTAAGGTTTTTGTTTCTGTGGTGCTGGTGTGTTTGAAGGCTAAAATATTTTTTTTATTTATTTATTTTTGTAAGGGCGGGGGGTGTCTAATACTTGTGTTGCTGTATTATTATTATTTTAAAATTTTTTTCTAATAGTCAACTATTCTGTTTTTGTATTTTTTGCTAATGGTTTTAGCTAGTATTTGTGACTTTGTTTTGTCTAATATATTATAAAATCTGCATTCTTCTTGACAATGATGCCCTTTTTTTGTGTCATATGATTGTCTTTCTGTCTGTGTTGCTGCTTTTCTTCCAATAACTGGTATTCTGAAAAGTGTGTATTTTTCGAACATGTAAGCATTTTGTCACATTTTTTGTATTTTTCTCTTGTACTTTGTATTGTTTTGAAATGGTTGATGTCTACCATTTGACAAGATTGATGAATATTTATTTGCTGTATTTTTTTATTTAATCTTTTAATATTTGTATCCAATATTTGTTTACTGTTGAATATTCTGCATTATTTAACAGTATTTTATTCCTAAACATATTTGCATTTTCTGTCTAGGATTTCACATATTTGCCCGCTAGTTTTGTATTCTAATATTCATGCGATCTTAAATCTCAACTATGTCTATTTTTGAGTGTAAAAAATGTGTGTTTCTGTCTATTCATCTAATACTCTGTTTTCTAATATTGTACAAATTTTACTTTACTGTGTGTCTATTTTTTTTAATAATCGTTTTTGTATTTCTTGTTGATTTTTTTTAAAAGTTTTATGATGCAAATATTTTGGTACATTTCCCTCAAATGCTTTGCACAGTTTTCAAATATTCTTGTATTGTAATACTTTGTGTTTTCAAAATTGTATTGTACTTTATTGTTGACATTTTTTTTTTGCATATTTTTTTTCTTTTTAGATATTTGAAATTATGGTTTGACTAGTGCCACTCCAATTGGAGAACGTACGTAAACCTGACATTTAATCAGCAATAATACTGCTCACTGGGATCATTAAGTGGAATTTCCAGAGCATGTCATCTCGAAATCAAAACAAAACCCATTGGCGGAGGGGCTACAAAAGGAGTTTGCGGCCTCAGGTGAGGCGCCGGTCTCAAAGCTTCGAAAACAACGAGCGAAGGTCAGAACAATGTTGCCGCATCTATTTCACGGCTCCTCTTTGCCTGGCAGTGGGGGGAGGGTTTCGGGAGGATTGCAGTGGGTGTCGGGGTAGTGGTGGTGGTGGGCTGGGGGGGTATTGTGTCGCATTCTGTGAAGGCATTGATAATTAGTGCTTTGTTGGTACTTGTTGCTTGATTAAGATGGAAAGCTAATACAGGAAGCCCTCCTCTCCCGAGCGAGACCCTCTCTATTGAGGGAGGGTCAGTCCCAGGGCTCAACGCAGGGGGTCCTTCCCCCACCCCCTTTTCCTGGAAGCCCCCCGCCCCCCTGGACACTGTGGAGTGTCAGGGGCTTGAACAATCTGGCGCCACATTTACAAAGCGTTCACCTGCTTGACAAAAGCGCAGACTGAGCTACGACCTAAAACCCCTCACCATTCATGTTCTTTTTATTTCACTGCGGAGACGTCCCTCGGCTCAAACAAAACAGACTCCAGCAGTTTGTTGACGCGGTGTCCGCAACTCCTGTGTTTACAATATGGCCGACGAATTAACCTAGCGGCCAGTGGTCACATCCCGCGCTTTAGTTTTGGGATTCTTGGCAGGTTTCTCTTCAGTTGTAATCTGAAGAGTGCCTGACTGGGGCCCGACTCGGCACTCTTCCTTTAGCTTAACTTGGTTTGGTGAATTTGTCAAGCGCAGATTTTCTTACAACTGTAGTGAGCACTTAGCCTGAATTTGTCAAGCCAAGAACTATTCTGATAGCAACTCTGCTTAAATTTGAACCATTAAGTTGAATTTGTCATGGTAAGAATTATTCCAACGGCAACATTGTATGAATATTTAAACAAGAATTTGTCGAAATCTATTTTGATTTTTAATTCAGCTTGACTTTTTGCCGCCGAGTTGAACATGTCAAGCCAAAACAATTTTTGGGGCAACTTCAGCTTACATTTCAGCTTGTATTCTCAAGTCAAGTACTGCTATTTTGTGTGCAACGTTATCTCGAATTTTAGCCATGAGTTTGAATTTAAGTCGTATTCCGAAATCCGCGTCATCCTGATTTGACTGTCAAAATAGCTCTAGATTGATTATTCCGAATTTCAGACAAAATTGTGAGCAAAATAAAAGCAAAATACATTTCTAAACAATTAAAAAGTCAAACTAAAGTAGCGATTAAAATGAGTCAATGAGTTAATCGCCTGTTTATTTTGGGTTTGACAAATTAAAGCGAAAAGCAAAAATGTCTTGCACTGAACATTGATCGTGGCTGAACAAATTCAAGCTAAATGGCTAACATTTAAGAAAGTTCCTTTGAAAATAGTTTTTGGTGAGTTAAATTCAAGCCAACAGCAAAAAATAAAATGAATTAATTAAAAACCAAGGTTCCGTTGACGTAAAACTTGGCTCGGCAAATTCAATCGAACGGCTAAAAAGCATTTGTCACAATCGTTCATTTTGCTGAATTCAAGCTAAAACGTCAACTCATGTTTGACTATTTCTCTTTCGGCTCGGCCATAATCCCAGAGGGCCTGACTCAGCACTCCTCCCCGAGCCCCGCAGCCCAACCCTGACCGCCCTCCGCTGCACAATGCAACCCATTTTGAAGCCCCCCTCTTGTTTATGCTTTACTGATCAAAGGAGCTGCCAGATCCCCGACCCCGGACTCCCTCCCCCACGTGGCCCTCACACACACACACACACACACACACACACACACACACACACACACACACACACACACACACACACACACACACACAGCAAAGCAAGTAAAGTAGCTGGAACTGCTCAGACTGGAGGGGCCCCCTTGAGAAAGAGGGGTCACAGGGAGCGGGGGCAATACAACTGTCCAATAGAGAAAAGGATTGAAACAGGGGGGAAAAAACATCCACGGAAGCCCCCCCCCCCCTCGGAAAGCGAATGGCCGCCCGAGTTGCTGTGGTCCCGTTGCACTCCGCCCTGACCTCCCCTTCCCACTATGGAAACTATGACATTTTGACATTTATTATAAAGGGGAGGAGAATGGGAGAGAAGCAGTAGGAGAAGGAAAGGAAGCTTGGATGAGACCCGAGTACACCAGTGTCCGCAACGACAACTATTTCGGTCTTTTTCTCCCTGGAAGTCAGACATATTTAAAGTCCAGCCCGGGGGCCACACGTGGGCCTGCCGCACATTTTTTTGATAATTGGCCTGCCGCATAGTCCAATCATAAAATTAAACACGGGCCACATCAAAGGGTGAGCAGAAATATAAGTACATGTCACTGTTTCAAGATATACAGAGACAGCGAGAGAGAGGGAGAACATTTTCTTTTTTACACTTCGAGCACACTAATACTAATTACTGTTTGCTTTGTCACCTTTCACCCAACTGAGATTTACATTTGTTGATTGATACGGTTATGTTCAACTGCTTAGCATGTTTACCTACAACGCACTCAATTGGTTTGAACGTGTTTCATAAACACAAAGTGAAGTGGTCCACCTCTTCCTTTTCTATTGACGTTTCTATCAAGCTAGCAAGATATTTGATTGGACAAATCAACAACAACAAAAAAAGTTGATGATCAAAGGCGTTAGTGATAAAATCCAATCTTTTCCGCCTCGGCAGCACTCTGTGTTCCAAACATTTAGTAACTCGGGAAGCGGGTCAATGAGTTACAAGCGGCAGGTAATTCATCACTAGGCTGTAAAACTAAACGATAATCCATTCAGCCGGCCTAATATGGTCCGAGCCGGACGCCACTTCCTGCGGGCGAAACATGAAACAAAAAAAAAAAAAAGAAGCGTGGCGGCAACTGTTGGGGTGGAGGTGGCCCACCAGTTGCCCCGAGGAATTGCCGATGATCCTCAAACCCGCACCGCGGCCGCAACTGCTGCGTGTTATCTTTACTCGCCTGTGGTGGGGTTGCTAGCTACCCTCCCCCCTGGCCTCTTTTCTCCCTGGGGGCAAACCACTAAATGGCAGGACACTGCCTAACTAATCAACTCTGGCTTGAATATTAGCTCAATCATCCAGAGAATCAGACAAGTAATTTAAATGGGTGTTTTAAATCATTTTAAAACTGTACTTTGCACACCAGGTCTGTGGCTAACTGGAGGTATTTTGCTGTGGAAATGCTACAAATACAACACTAATCATGTGTAAGCGGACTTAGCTTAGGCAGCGGATGAGATGGCGGCGTTGTGCTATTTTGGTCCACTCAAAGGATTGCTTGTTGTTCATGAACCAGCCGTGGAGAATGAAGTCACGATTCCTAACCCATGCCCACCCCCGTCCTATTCATTTTTGTCACAGTACATTTACAGCTCAATTATATCAAAATGGATGGTCGTGAAGCTGCTCAATTGGACTCTCATCGCAGTTTCGTATGACTCAGATGAGGGCAAAGAGACGACTCTTGATCCACCTGGACCATTGAGATGTCCTTGACGGATGCCCCCACTTATCATGGTGCCGATTATTGTGCGGGTGTTATTTATAATGTCCTGCTGAGGAATAGGAGGAGGGTTGTTGTTGTTGTTCAGAGCTACAGAATCATAAGCGTACAAC